TTTTGTGAGTTAGCAAATTTAAAATGGAAAGCAGGCGTTTCTTTTGGAGTAGGGAAAAGAAGACGAGAGTCTTCCATCCTACTAACCTATTTATGTGGCTAACTTATGTGTTGTGCTAAATGTTTTTGTTTGTTTGCATTTGAATTTCAAGGCCAGTGATACTAATTGGTGCTGAGTCAGTTTACCAGCCTGCACACTCAGGATGCACACAAATACAGAATTAAAAGAACACTGACAAACAATTATATCTAATTAAAACCTTAGAGCACACTATAAACCAGTTATTATAGGCAGCACAGTGGCTCAGTGGTTAACACCATCACATCAAGAAGGGCCCCCATTTGAACCAAGAAACCAAGTTAGGAGCTTTCTGTGTGGAGTTTGCAAGTTCTCTGGTTTCTCCTACCCTTGAAAACCACACTGTGTTAACCCTACCTATGTGCAGCCTACCCTACTGTATATGTATTTATACCTTCAACCTCCTCGCTGTTCTAAATATTGAAAAGCTATAAACTGAAGTACAGCTTCACTTATAAATACACGATGTGGTTGGAGCTTCTTCCTCTCTCGTCCTCTCAGTGTCTCGTTGCTTTGTCTGTTCCTGTATCTCTGACAGCCTGCGTGCACATGAATGCATGCTCTCACACACGCACACACTGAAACAGATGTCGGCTCTTCCTCCTCTTGTGTGATGTGGAAAGCAGTTGCTGCTGCCCACCCAGGCGTATCCATGGCAACTGGACTGTGGTTGGCTGACAAGGCGGGGACAGTGACATCACTGGTCTCATTCAAGGAGTGCCACAGAGATAATAATGCTGCTGACTTCTTTTGTAGAAGAAGTGTAGCAGGAGAGTTAAAGTCATGAGCCTGGTTCTCTGTCTTTCCCATCCTAAAACAACTAGCTTTCCAGCTATAAGCACTTCATTTTACTTTTTTTATTTTGTTTTTCTGATTTTCACAAGTCTAAATTTATTTGATGGATATTCTTAATACTAATATGTTAAATATTATGGTGTTTTACTAATAATTAACAAGTAACAGACTTCATATAGAGTCTGGGATTAGGTACAACAGCTGCAGTTTTTACTCACTGAAAAACTACCCACCAGTGTAACAACCCTCTCACCCAAAACTAAAGTTTACGGAGTTTTATTGTTGGCATGTTAAAAGTTTCCCCACTAGAGGGTGCCAGACACCCACATCACTAATGCCAGTGTCACTCTGTCTTTACTTTTTTGCCCGCATTGCTAGAGATCATGCATTTGCAAAGAATAGACTAGTTGTGTGAAGGGTGTTTACACAAATGTCCCGACATTAGTTTGAACCAAAGATTTCACATTTGGTGTCACCTCTTCATAAGATTTGTTGCCACTGACATTCAGTCCAGTCCTTTTGTAATTTGGCAAACTTCATCCTCCCTTGCTTTCTTGCCTTAAAAATGGCGACTTGACAGCCACCCTTCCATTGAGACCATTTCTAATGAGGCATCAGTGAACAGTAGATGATTTAGCTGAAGGTCTGGATGCATCTTTTGGGTCCTGTATCAAGATATTGATATATTTCTTTCCTATTTCTTAAGGAAATTACTTTCAGATGCAACTCATCTAATGTAGATTTTTAGCCCTGTCATTTCTTCATCTGTCCTCCTCTTTTCCAGTTTCCTCAGATTTTTTTAAGCACACATTGCACATCATCCTAAATAACGTGTATATATATATATATATATGTATATAGATGCTTTCTGCTAATGGCTCTTTTGGGAATCACATTGTTAATACAAAAAAGACTATTTTCTATCTGTCGAACTGTTATCTTTGCTATTTCCCATAGATTCAACAGAAAAAAGTGAATAAATTATGGTTGTTTTTTTGTTTTGTTTTTTGTTTGTTTGTCTTTTACAAACAAAGTGCCTAAGGATATAATTTAAAAGTGAATAAAGCAAGAACTTTGAAAGACCTTTAGAAAGCCTGAAGAACTATTGCTCAAGACCAGTTTAAAGATTTTTAAGTAAGCCTGATTTCTTGGAAATAAAATATAAAGAAATTAGACTTTTTCACTATACCGTACACTACCTGACATTGTTAAAATGTAGCAGGATGAGAAAACTGTGTCCAATGTCCTGGCAAAAATCTTGCTTCTCTTCCATTTTGACAAGACCTCTTGCAGCTCAGAGGAAGCTGAAGTAAAATCCTTTTCCCACTAGAAAGGAAATGAGCTCTGGGGGAGCTGGAAAGAGCAGTCACAATAGTGGCAATAGCTTGTAGAGACATCTACTGTGGTTAGATAATTCCTACTGTAGGTAAAAGCAAAAGATTTGGGAATCTTTAATTTCCTTTGTACCACTGTACAGTTTATGTGTGCGTGATCTAAACGCCACAGTACTCTGTATGTTTAGACTCTTTAGACTTTTAAACCAATATTTAATCTTCAATTTGCAGCAGTGTTTTTTCTTGGGTGTTTTGACTTCCAGATGGCAGTTTAGTTGTGACGTTTGACAGGATAACATCTGGAAGTTTGATGCTCTAACACCTATGTGGGAGTGCATGGTACTGAGTCACAATTATTCAGTGTATCTGAGCAAAGAATGAACAGTGTGACTTCATCACAAATCACAGGAAGTTCAGTTTATTCAGTAGCCATATTTATACAATCAGCTCTGGCCTCTCGACTGCTAATTAGACGTGCCACTAATTACATTTCTCCAGCTTGTACAATTTTCAGTTCCATCAGGCGTCAGCAATATAAAAGCAGTTTGACAGATGTTAAAGTAAACTTCTTTACTTCAATGCAGTCATTCTGAAAAATAACAGTTTAATTAAAAATGTTTTAGTAGGTTAGAATTGCAGAAAAAAAACCGTGTGAATATAATCAGGGACACTGTAACAGTTTACATTAAGGTAGTTGTTTCTTTGCATTCATATAAGTAATATATTAGCTCCTTATTAAGCAAGCATTTATGCCTCATTCTGCATCATGACTTATACCTCTAGTCGTGAGAAAGATCTTACTTTGAATGGGGAACAGATTCTGAATTCAAAAGACCTCAGCTGTAAAGTTGGTACCTCTTTATAAAGCCGTTTTCTGTTTGGAAATAGGAGTCATTCAGAAAAATGTTGGTGTAAAGAAGTGGTTTACAGTGACTTATACGGAAACATAATCCCACATACCAGATTTTAAAAATCCCAGCTAATTGCTTTAAAGGGATGGTGGCCCTGTTGCACCAAAGCCCAGTGTAAGAAAAAACATGGATTATTTTGAACTGTGAGTCATGCTAATTGACTCAAATGGACGCTAAGAATAAAAATATGGAGTCAGAAAAAGATCAAAGGTCACTTATAGTAATTAACTTTTGTACCTTAAAATAACGTGTGGCCTTTTTCTATTTTTTCCACGTTGTGACCTTGTAATATCGCACATTGTTCTTTCATAAACAGATAAAACTGATTGTATGACATATTCATATGATCATTTTTAGACATTCATGCTAAGATTAGTGTGCTACTTAAAAACATAATAATTACACATTGTGGTGCAGTCCTTGCCTCTAGGTTCAGTGTTGAGTAATTGTTTCTCCTCCTATCAAGGCTAGAGTTAAAGATAGAGGATCGCTGACTGCGGTCATTTCTTCCAAATATGAAGATGGGAGAAAATGCTCACAAGTTACTTAAAACTTAATACGCTAAATAAATCCAAAAAAAGCCCCAAATGTTCCACTTCATCATGAGTCAGATATGCTGTATTATGATCATCGGTACACACTGATAAGATGCTGGGTCTTTACAGAATAGAGAGTGGTTTTACAACAGCTGCCTTGTATTTTGCAATATTTGTTACATGTTTTCTGTAGCAAAGGCAGACCTGTTATTTTGGAGTACCCAGACCCCTGAACTGTATTATTTCAAGCAACACTGACTCACCGGCACAGTTAATTAACAGCACAGCACATAAGCTAATTATTTTGCTAAGAAACTAGTTTTCACAGGAAAGCAACATTTCACATAGAAGTACTAAAAAAACAGATTTTTGCAATCTGCATATTTACCACATCAATAAAAAAGGTTTATGAGCTCATATGAATGAAGTGTCCTTGAGCCTCACAGTAAGTCTTTGTACTGCTGCAGTGCTCTTCAGTTAGCTGAAGGTGAACCTGGGTAGCAACGCTGACAGACGGTGATGTATAGACTGTGTTTTTCCTTTTTTTTAAAAAATATTTCAGGTTTTCAAGTGACTATTGACAATACAGTGAAAGATTTTCAAAGCAAATCCTCCAAAATATCTAATCAGATATATGTGGTCTACTCATTCTAACAATCAGTGCACTTGTTTCTGTAAACTCCTTCAGATAAGATAAAGTGTTCATGGTCGAAGGTGCAAACGGGACGACTGACCTCTACTAATTCTTGACTACTCCGGGAGAATTGTTGCTAGCATTGTTGTGAGCCATAATGTGTCTTTTACATGATGTCACACACATTGACTCACAAATTCCTGATGTCCCAGGGGATTGTATCCTGAAGTAAGGAAGCTTGGTCCTCCTCCCTTACTGCTTCCTAGTATTGTTGTTGCATCCATCTCTTAAATGTCCACGTGAGCATTATGTGTGTACTTCCATGTGAACATTTTAGGTGCAATTTAAAGGATGGCAGTAATGACTTAACAGTCCTTAACAGCCATTTGTTTAAAAGAAGTCATAATTAACTGAATGTATTTGCATTGCATTAAGCCCTCTGAATAGCAAAAGCAGAAACATGTTGTTATCATAGCAACAGAGAGAAATGGTTCATAAACCTGCCGAAGGAGGATGTGGAGTTTTTCCTGTTGTACAAAGCTTTTAACCAGATGATGGCATGTTTTTCTTTGCAAGTTCTTTAAAAACTACCATATCTACCTGGTCGTTTCTCATGTTAAGCATCTGGATGATATGCTGATGAAAATTGTGAACCTGACAATGAGCCACAGTTAACTTTGGATTTGTCTCTTGTGTTTTTGTGTATTTATAGGCTTGAGTCTGAAATCGGTGCACTCGAAAGTGAAGAGTCTCAGATTTCAGCCAAGGAGCAAGTTCTTCGAGAACGCCTGAAGGAGACAGAGCGCTCGATAGAAGACCTGCAGAAGGTATAAAAACATGAAGTGATTCAGGCATTGTTGAATCAATACAGACTTACTATACCCCAGCCCTGCTCAGGATGTGTAAGTCTTCTTTTAGTAGTTCAACAGCTCATTTTAATTTACCAGCTGTGCTTTAGGTCATGGTAAATAGTATTCTGAATAAACTAACAAGTAAACAAACTGCATTAAAAGTGCTCAAAAAAGATGGTCGCGCAATGTGTGATCAATAGTTTTTTGACTCCGATGATACAAGAAATGTGAATAATCCCTTTTGCACTTCTGCTTCACTACTGCTATTTGACCACTGCAACATGCCCATCTTCAGTTTCATATTGATTCTCAAAAATGCACTGTAATCAAACATTAGCTTTTGTTTTTGTTTCATGTTGACAATAGTCAGTTATAATTAGAGCTGCAGCTATGACCCAAGCACCTAACACCAGTCTTCAGTGGAGGAGTGCATAGTTTCTGAGACTGAAAGTGGCACACTGGGTTATGAGTCTCTTTTTTTCCCACACTCATAAGGTTATGCACTGTAGATTTATCCCGCAGGGTCAGTTTCTCAGTGGAAACTTCTATTTCCTGCACATTTTCAGGCCACATCAATGCAATCCTTGCTCAGTAGCCATTCTATTTACCACATTTAGCTCCTTAGAGTTTGTTCTCATCCCCAAACTTGTTGGACTCAAGTAGCACCGAAAGTTGTAAACACAAAAATACAGAATTGACTGCTGGTGCACACTTTCCCCCAAAAAACGAAGTTCAAACTTCTTTTTTTGTCTTTTCTCTCTTTCAGAGTCTGATGTTGCAGGATGAAGGTATGGGCAATGACACCCGTGCGAGCCTACAAACATAGACATGTTAACTGAAACTGCACAGAGTGAGGTGTGTGTGTGTGATGTGTGCATTTGTGTGTGTGGATAATAGTCTCGCTGAGGCAGGAGAGATGCAAGCCAGAGCTCGCTCCTGAACCCCCAAACACACACTAGCAGAAACTACATAGACACCGGCATGAAAAAGCACTCAAAGAGCACGCGGCTCAGCGAGACTATTGAAGCTCACACACACACACACACACACGCACGCACAAGGCCATGACTCTGCAGCCTGCAGTCACTGGCTTTATCCTCATCCCATTCACCAGCAAGCCCTGTAAGCCCCAACAGCTTTGTTCCTGCTGTCACACACACACATAGACACACAAGAACACACACAAAGCAGTAACATTTACACAAATACGGACACACACACACACTTCTGCTGCATAAGCAACGAACCTCAGGGGTACTAGAGTTGCTGCGGACAGAGAAACAGAGCTGAGGAGAGTTAGATGGTGTGTGTATGGGTGGGTGGATGTGTTGAATAGAGGCGGGCAGGGTCACACATGGGTGTGGTTAGTTACCCTGTTGTGAGGCCGGACTGTTTGTGTGTTTTTGTATCAGGGTGGACTCCACATCATTGAGGTGTGTGTATGCATGAATACCCAGTGTGTGTTTGTGTGTATTGGCATGTAGCTAATGTAAGTGTGTGTGTGTGTGTGTGTGTGACTCACAGCCTCACAGCTTCATCTCATTGTCATTTCCCCTCCTGTGCTCCTGCTCACTAGATGCCACTGGCTGCATGTCTGCTCCTCTCTCGGACCGCATGGACCCCGATCCCAACCACCTCGCCCTGGCCACGCAGCACCAGACCGGCCCACCTGCCCTGGGCGACAACGCCAGACCAAGACCTGGTAAGACTAAGG